TCTCACTAACTTGAACACCTGTGCACAAGAGCCCTGGGTGTACAGGAAGGGACTTGGGTATAACAAAATGTAGGTGGGCCAGGGATTTAGCTCAGTGATGCTGCACCTGCCTTGCAAGTGCAAGGTCCTGAGTTCAATTCCTGGTACAAAAAGAAGGAAAGAAAGAAAAAGCAGGGGTTGAGGGTGGGATGGATTTAGTCCAGGTCCTCCATTTGGACTCTTACACTAACTCTGTAACTGTCAGGGTTGGGTCTTCCCAGAAGAGCCTTTCTCTTTGTCCAGCTGCTTTTTAAAAAAAGTTTTTAAAAGCCATTGGGGAAGGTTTTCTTTACTCATTTAGAGGCTGTGTATAGCACGCTCAACACAGAGCCCAGTTAATCTTGAGAATAATTCTCAGAGTCAGCTGGCTAATGTAGGGGGCATTTTCCTGGCAGGAGGCTCTCTTCAGGTGCCTCTTTCTGTCTCTCCCCTGGGTAGGTGATACTGCTTTGTGAAAAGGAGAACGGACTCTGCTGACACACACTATTTTTATGAAAGAAAGAAAAGGGTTCCCTTATCTCTCTGTACAAGGCACATCTGCTTGCAAACAGGCCATCTGCTTCTTAGGGATTCCTTCATCATCCTGTTTCTTTGCTGAAGGTTTTAAGGCATAGTTTGGTGCATTCCTTTCTGTTTTCCAGGGCCAAGGGAGTTGTCATACTACATCAGGGTTCTTGCTAAAGAGCTTAAAATGGGCGCTGGCAGCTGGGATGTGGGGGAAGAGAGCTTTCCAGGGACAAGTGACCTGCTTGTTCAGCCAATAAGAAGCAGGTTAGACAAATGATATCACCAGACAGGCTTTATTGTCTGATCATCTCATAAAAGCAGGATTGTGTCTGGCAACTTAACCCTTTTTTAGGTATTTTAGGTCTCACCCACTGTTGGTATGTGACCTTTAGATTCCTTTTCAGCTGTCTCTGTGAGACTACAGAGATTAAAATAGAAATTATTCACATTTAGAACCACAGCTAGAATGGAAATGTGATCTAAGCTGTATTCGGAGAGCACATCTCAAGTGGATATTGTTTGTAGTTATGCTAGATCAGTATTTTGCTGTGTAGGCTTGGGAAAAAAGGGATGTTAGAGGAGAAAAAAGATTTAGCTCCTATGCATTTTAATATACGTAAATGGATCTTACAAAGTATATCCTGTTTTGGAAGAATTTAAATAGTTTCTGCAAAATGGAAGTTATGCTGTCACTGAACCTGAGACTAGTTTTGAAAACAAGGTATTTGTGATCTTTATTCTTGAACTTCTTTATTGTTTGTTCCCTTATAAAAATGATAGTCATCTTCCTTTGCTTCCTTTTTCTCATTGGTAAAATGAGTGTTCCTACTCCATAAAGTTATTGAGATAAGAAAATATACTAGATCTTGTGATTTTAGATTGTACTAAACACATGACATTCGAGCAATATTCATTTATGTGAGAGAGATGTAGTTCTTACCATTAAGGAATGAAAAACATCACGAGGAAGACAAAATAATAAAATGGCCTCACACTTCTGTTGTATTTACCCTGTGCCAGAGCCTGTGCTAAACATCTTGACCTATATTAATTCATTTAATCTTTCTACATCCCTATGAAATAGGTAATTTTGTAGTTAGCGTTGTTTTATAGATAAAGAAATAGAAATGCAGAAATAGAAATAGAGGTGAAATGATTTGCCTAAGGTTACACTTGTAGTAGGAAAGTTGACATTTTAATCTAGGCAGTGGGGCTCTATAGTCTGTGCTTTGGCTCTGCGCTGACCAATATAGTGGCGCCTGAGCCACATGTACCTTTGGAATACTTGAAGTGTAGCTAGTACAAATTGATTGGGCTGTGTGGAGGGAAAAAATGTAAGATTTCAAAGGCTGTGTATATACATACACGTATGTGTGTGTGCGCAATCTAGTTGTGGAATGCTTAATATTGTGTGATATATATATATATATATGTGTATGTATATATACAATCTCATTGCAATTACATGTTTCAAGTGATAATATTTTAGACATACTGAGTTATAAAATATGTAAAAATTATTTTCACTTTTTAATTGTAGGTAGTAGGAAAAATATATATGTGCTTGCCTTTAGGGGTCCACAGTATTTTTCTTTTTCTAAAAATGTTTTATTTTTAGGATGACAATGGCTGAATGGGGGGAGCTGGGGATTTGGCTCAGTGGTTCTGCCATGTGCCTTGCAAGAGCAAGGGCTGGAGTTCAATCCCCGGTACCAGAAAAGAAAAGAAAATGGATGAAGGGGAAATGGGAAGGGGAGGGGAAAGGAATAAGGGAAAAGAAAAAAAATATGAAGAGAGGAAAAAATGGAAACAAAGTCTTTGTAAATAGGGAAAGGTAAAGGGAGGGAAGGGGTATGGGGAAAAGTAAAAACCAAGATATATCATGTAAAGGTACAAGATTCCAATGATAAATATAAATTGTTTGCTTTAAATGTACCAATAAACTTAATGGGAAAAAATAAAAAATGTTTTATTTTTATTAGTACATGTTTGAAGTACAGAATTATTACATTTATTGTGGGGAATTGGCACATGTACATACAGCTTAATTCTTTTATTTTCTTTCCTCTCCACCTTCTTTTGTTTTCAAAACATTTTGTCAGCATTAGATTCTTTTATTCATTTTATAAGTTCTTAGCAAGTTAACTATCCTGAAAACATATAAAGCACATAAGACAATTATACTGAATCAAAGTAACATTTTTAGACACATTGTCCATGCTGGATTACAGTAACTTTTTTCCTATTGTCTGTCTTTTATTTTGCACTGTATTTATATATTAAGTTTTTCATGTAAGAGAATATGAGATATTTAGGCTTGTGTGTCTGATTTACTTCATTTAACATTATGGTCTCGAGGTGCATACATTTTCCTACAAATGACATTTATTTTTCTTTTTTCCTCCCATTAAGTTTATTGGTACATTTTAGGCAAACAGTACAGTTACATTCATCATTGGGAACTTGTATTCTCAAGTTTATTTTTCTTTATAGCAGAGTAGTGCTCCATTGTTCATAAATACATTTTCTTTATCTTTTCATTCATTGATGGTCATATAGTTTGCTTCCAAGATTTAACTATTATAAATTGTGCTGTTATAAACACATATGCATACATCTCTGATATATCTTTAACTCTTTCAGAAAGATACCTAGGAGAATAGCTAGGTGAAATGGAATTTCTGTTTTTAGTTTTATGAGGAATCTCCATACTGATTTCCATAGTGGTTGTTCCAGTTTATACACTCTAGCATTTGTTAGTGGTTGATTTCTTGATGATAGCCACTCTTTGTGGAGTGAGATGGAATCTCAGTGTTGTTTTATTTACATTTCTCCAATGGCCAGTAATGGTGAACATTTTTTACCTATTTATTGGTTGTTTGTACTTTTTCATCTCAGAAGTGTCTTCATTTCATATACCCATTTTTGGATTGGATCTTTAAATTTGGGGATCTAATTTTTTAAAGTTCTTTATATATTCCAGATACTACATTATTCCTTTGTCTGGGCAGTAGCTGGCAAAAAAAAATTTTTTTCCCATTCTATAGATTGTCTCTATTCTGTTAGTTGTTTCCTTTGCTGTGTAGAAGCTGTTTAATTTAATGTGATCCTATTTGTTTATTTTTGGTGTTTATGTCTTACATCTGATGTCTCCCAAAGCCTCATGTGCTCATAGGTGGGACTTTTGGAAAACAGCTGGATTAGGGTGTGTGATAACTGAGTTAGTCCACTGACTAGTTTAGCATAGTTCTGGATTTGGCTGAATGGATTTACTGAGGACAAAAGACCCACCCTGGGTTTGAGTGGCACCAACCAATAGCCTTGTACCCTGGAATAAATATAAAGGGTAAGGAAGGCTTTTGCTACTTCTCTTGTTTTCCTCCAAGTTGTTATTTTCCAGTGCCAGGATTCCAAATCTCTGAGAGGCTGAGGAGTTGTTGCTTATCACTCTGCCATTTTCCCAGATGGCACTGGGCCACTCAGTACTTTGTATTACTGTACTCTGTAGACCACTACACTGTAGTAATAACAATAACATTAACAGGTGACATTTTGAAGCACTTACTTTATGCCACAGACTTTGCTAATACTTCTACAAACATTATTTAAGCCCATAATTTCCTAGTAGTATCCCCATTTTATAAATGAGAGAAAGATTTTGAGAAAATCTGTATTTTGCTCTGGATTAGTCAACTGGTTAATGACAGACTTCAAATTTGAAATCTTATATATCTGCTCTTAATCACTACACTGTAATTCCATTTCAATTAAATTTCAGATTGTTTTCTTTTATAAGAATGTATAATATTATATACTTCTGATTTGGCACATGAAAGTTCAAAGTAGGGCCAGGGATTTAGCTCAGTGTTTCCGGCGCCTGCCTCGCAAGCAGAAGGACCTGAGTTCGATCCCTGGTACCAAAAAAAAAAAAAAAA